TCTCTAGTGTCGAAAACTTGATATCTTTCACCAGTGGAAGATACCATATCTTTCACACGTGAAGATATCGCTGTTGACATAGTAACGTATTTTGATAAAGAATTTTTGAGCTTTTGTTTTATTTAAGTTTCATCGATATCTATATAATAAACAGAACATTACATGGTCGCTCGTGTTCAATTTAGATATCTCACTCGTTCGCTGCGCTCACTCGTGAGATATCAATTGAACACTCGATGATAAAATTCGTATTTCCGCGCGCCCATGTAATATCCTCTATTTATTATATAATTACCAATGAAATATCTATTTTTCTCTATTTCGAAAAATTTATATCTTCACACGTGAAAATAACATGTTATTTTCACGTGTGAAAATAACACCATTGCGATGGCTATTCAAAAATACACGGAAAGAATTGCCTGAAAAAGCCAAAACATACTTCATTGATAATTATATAATAAACAGAATATTACATGGGCGCTTGGAGATACGAAATTTATCTTCTCGTGTTGAAAACCTCTCACTCGTTCGCTGCGCTCACTTRTGAGAGATCTTTTCAACACTCGAAGATAAATTTCGTATCTCCGCGCGCCCATGTAATATCCTCTATATATTTAATATTCAACGACACTCAATGATTCAATAATAGACCGTTTTCTCAAGGTTGCGTGCGCATCCAACTTGACGGGCCACAAAATTGAAAAACGCAAATTCGGTAAAATCGAAAAGCCAGTTTTATATTTAAAGAGGTGAATAATCGATTTTATGAATTGTTATCGAAAAAGATTTCATAGATATGTATGATACTTTTCATTATAAAGCTCCTGTTCTGGTATCGTAGCCCTCAAGTTCCTTAAATTTGGATGCGCGCGCAACCTTGAGAAAGCGGTCTATTACATTTCACGACTAGTATTTTTGTCTGGATTTCAAAGGTGGCTGATTTTTTGTTTCGTTACAGAATCAGACGAGTGCATCGATCGTGATAACCGATGTAAGTCATGGGCCCGCGAGCGATACTGTACGCGGTCTAACTACAAAAAAGTGATGGAATCATTCTGCGCCAGGAGCTGTGGACTCTGTGGTGATCCTGGTAAGCAAATAGCTGACGTCTGTGGGGGTGGGGAAGGTATTGTGGAGGTAATTACTTGGATGCAACGCACAAGGCGTTTGATACCCTCGTTCATATCCTTCTACATTCCTAATTCATCTTTTAATGTTGAATTCTCAACAGCTAAGATTTGTTTTGATAAAGAAAAGCATAAGTGTCCTAAATGGAAAGACAACGGGTTTTGCGACTCAGAAGATAAGGACATCAAAGATGCAATGAAGATGTTGTGTACCAAGACCTGCCGCTTGTGTGGTAAGTAAGTGCACTTATTTCGAAAAACGTTGTCACCGCTAAAGGCGACAGGCAACAGGTGATTGGCGAAAAACAATAGGAGACAGGTCATTCATTCTAAGATCCAAGAATAGCTGGAATGACTTGTGTTTCTGCTTCTTATATTCTCGTCAAGAACATGGACCTTAGTGTTGAGACTTATCCAATGTAGTTTGTAGACAACTAAACAATTTCTAATTCGGAATGACCTATTACCTATCGCCTTTGGTGATGACAACGTTTTTGTAAAATAGATGTGTGCATAGAGACAGAAAAAGACACTCTGTCCCCATTACATAGCCTTTCCCAAGTCAACGTCTCTTGTATCCTGCGGGAACTCAGTTTCATTCGAGCCCAGCTGCAAGAGCGCGACAGAGAGGCCATTAGAGATATACAGAGAGAGAGAGGGGGGGGGGGGGGGGCAGTGTTTACGAGATCCCATATAAGTAGACATACATGAAGTAATGGCCGGATAAGTCAATGCCTCTTACTTAGTTAGTCCTCCTCGTTCTTTTGGGACACAGGTTATTCATGTAACTGATTTCGTTTTCCGTAATCATTGATGCTTTCCGGGTGCAGGCAATATCCACAGCCCAACCAATGTCTCAAAACTGCTCATTTATTTTACTAATAGACAAGCACTCTAAGCTTAACAAGAAGTATGGATGCACCGACACCTTCAAGACATGTTACAGATGGTATAAACTGGGATACTGTGAAAGCAGACCACTTTTTATGAACCAATACTGTAGAAAGAGCTGTAAGATTTGCACAAGAAAAGGTAATAGAACCTATAATAACTCATTAGTATTTTACGTCAAAGTAAGTTCTCTCTCTCTCTCTCTTTAGATCTACTGTCGTATTGATATCTATTGAAGACATTTTTTAAAGGCAGGACACGCTGTCTTGTTTCTTCTCAACGTTCTCCCAAACCTCCCCCCCCCCCCCCGGTCCCTCCCCGGAAATTTTGTTTCCTGAGTTACATCCATGATAATGTGAATAATTGTCCAAGGTGTTTGAAAAAGATGTCTGTCATTGCAAGCTCACCGTTTGTCTCGCTTCGATGCAAAGGCACGGCTACCTTTCAAGATGACGCAAAAAACTGTGAAAGATACTATAAAGCATTTTCATTTGACGTCACAGCGGCCATGTTGGTGTACGAAAACAATACATTTTCTATCCTCGGGGAATTGAACCCTATTTTTATTTACAATCTGTGCTGTAAGTTTCTATTGTTTGGTACACCAATATGCCTGCCTTCTCACGTGAGTGAAAACGCTCTATTTATATAAAAGTGGGCAATCATTGAATAGTTTATCCCCTTGTTGTTTTGAATATCAGTGGATAGTAAAAGATGTCTGGACAACGCTGTTGGTTGTGAGCGGAGGAAAGCCGATGGATTTTGCGAGAAGAAAAGAAAGACGATGAAATTTTATTGTAGGAAAACGTGTGGTTTTTGTCACAAACTCGAGCAAAGCCAGCAAGGTCAAGGTAAATGAGTTGAATAATAGAATGAATAAAAGAATCGGATGAGAGAGAGCAAAGAGCCCCGGAAAGGGGAAGAAATAGATCAAAGAAACTGAGTAAGAGAGGAAGTAAGAGTTAACGCAGTAGCGTATATACCTTTTGTGTAGGGCCTTCCTCACTTTCGGTTTAGCTCCATACCCATCGTTCCCTTAAAGAATAATATCAGACGAATACATTAATATTAATATACATTCAAATGTTTTAAAGTACTGTTGCATTGTAATTTTCTCAGTAACTTGTTTCGCAATGCCGTTGCGAACGAACAATTTGATGGAGAATCGCAGGGTGTAATAGCAGTTGTCTTGCAACTGTTTTTGTTACGCGTAGCGTTGGACGAAGTAGAATTCAGTTCTGCTTTTCGCAACGGTTTACAGCAACTGGCAACGCCATTGCACAGTGTATCATCATTCCAGCAACTTTTTTTACATGCAATTTTGAGGCATATTTTTAAAGAACTCTTGCGCATGCGCCTTGAATCTCGCTCCAAATATCATTACGAGTTTATTCTCCCCAACCAAAAATCGTTGCAACCTTGAGATTCCAGTGTAACACCTCACCTCGGCAACTTGTAACACTACATTTTCAAGCATTGCGATACAAGTTGCTGAAATAATTGTATAGTGTAACAGAGCCTTTGCGGTTTAACAAAGAAATAACACTTGAGCTTAGGGAAATGAAACTCGGTCTGAGATGGGGCCTAAAAAGACCTATGAATGAGATTCACAACAGCCATTGTGGGAACGCACACAAAGTTTTTTTGAATGAAAAACAAAAGAACCCGGATTTTATTTTGGAACAAATTTTTCATCGTCGAGCCCCACAACGGCTAGCTGTGAAATCCCACTTTAGGAAAAACTATAAAAGCCGCACAATTTCAACTAACAATTTTTTCTTTCATCTTATTTTTTATTACACTGAAGCTGCTGAAAGAGAACCCTGTAAAGATTTGAACAAGGTTTGCCCAACCTGGGCTGAACTTAATTACTGCCAAACTAAAGCTCTATATATGGTGAAATATTGTAAGAAAAGTTGTAGAATATGCGATGGAAACGGTTCGAATCTTTACAGTAAGTACAAAAAAACCTAGCGAGTGGAATAGTTAAAAACGAGTGAAAAAATTATGAGTTAAAAAAGCAAGAGTGAGTCGTACCAAGACATGATGACAGTAAGAAAGTGAGATACGACATATTTAGTAGTTCTGATTACTGACTTTTCATTCATGGTTACAGAACCCTACAGCTATACTTCACGCCCTAGAAAGCGACCTTGCATAAATAGACGCCGTGCTTGTACCTATTGGGCCCATATTGGCATGTGTCATATAAGACCTGATATAATGCTTAAAGAATGCAAACTTGCATGTCGTGCTTGTAGACCAGGTTAGCTTTAACGAAAATTCTATTAAACCTAGTCGCCTTACCCCTTCCTCTCTCTCCCACCCGTCTCCCCTTACCTATCCTCACCCCGTCCCCAACCCGATTCCCCTTACCTCTTCTCGCCCCCTTCTCTCTCCCCACCCACCTCTCCCCAGCTCTAATCGCCTCCTCCCCTTACTTTCCGTGATCAGACATAACTACTGGTGCTTGCTCTTCATAAATACCAGGAGTTACTAATTACTAACAGCTGCATGAATAGTCGAACTAAAATGCGCCTGCCTTATCATAGTGGTAAGTCTGGAAGAAGAGATCCCTCTCCCCCATGGGAGACATAAACAATTTTATAGCGAGGATGGTGGCCGTAGCGTCCTGGTAGAACAGATTATCACTCCCCCCACGAGAGACATAGGCTAGATCACAAAACCGAATAAAAATACCTTCACTTAGATGATGGGCAAATTTCTTAGGTTGGGGGGGAGGGGAGGGGGAGGGATCCAGGGGAGGGCCATTAAATTTCTACTCAGTCAAAACGGCGGGTCATCAAATATTTCATATTACACAAAGGCGAGGGTCAAGAATGCAACAAATTTCAAGGGGAGGGGCACCTTTTTTATGCAGACAGAGGAAAGGGGAGCTAAAGATTTTACATAAATGTTTATAGAGTTTCCTACGGCCCACCTCATCCCCGTCCTAAAAAATGAATGCTCCCTAAAGGAGAACTACTAACACCTTTTTCCAACACGCTATAGAAAAGAAAGAAGAACAGTATCCGACGTGCAAGAATATCGCAGATGATGATAACTGCGAGCACTGGGCTGCGCTTGGGAAATGTGTGTCGAGGGCTAACTTTATGATTAGCAATTGCCCTAAAGCATGCAACGCTTGTCCTTCCAGTAAGTATACTGTGTTACGTTTTGAACTGTATTAGCCTTCTGCGTAGATACCTTAAGGTTGGTCATGCAACATTTATTTTCTCTCTCTACGTTGCGACGACGTGACATGACAACGTTAAGAAATCTGCATAGTCTAGATGTATACCTAGGACGTTATTAGTATGTTCTTAATTGACCACCATGACTGACTAAACCCAACAAGCCAGTTCATTCGTTAATTTACCAACCATTTTTGTTTTTTTAAATCAAATTTTCGTTTTTTGAGCCTTTTTAAAAAAATTTATTCTATTTCATTAATTAATTTATTTTTATGTATTTTATTGGTTCATTCATTTATTAATGTTGTTTACCCATTAAGGTTTAAATCCTTTTTCTAACTTATTTTTCATAACCTTCATTATCTCGTAGGACCAGTGAAAACAACGCCTGCCAAGCCTGTTGGTAAGCTGATTTTACTTCATTAGAAACTCATTTTCATATATATGATACAGCTTCTTCCTGAATCTCATATTCGAAAAACATCGCCTAATCAATGTTTTTTCTTCTGTCCACAACCCATTGAGCATTATTTCTTACGTTAACAATTTATTTCATTCTTGAGATGATATTTTATTATGGATGAAACTCAGAATCACAAGGTGCGGCAATAAGGACTACAAAATCGCGCAACACGTCGCGTAACAGTTTTGCTTTACTGGTTGAATGTTTTTCGTTTTACCACTCTGCGCGCAACAAATTTTCTTTGTTGCACGAAATAGAAGTTTTCTCCACTTTTTGTAACAAAGAAAATACGTATTATATATACCGTATCTTTAGGAAAGAGACTCAAAGGAATGAGACTTGGTCTGAAATAATACTCAGCTATTGCTGGTTTTTAATCAATCCAAAGGGAGAGAAATGACAAAAGACRCGGCGGTCATGTTGGATGATAAAACAAAATAAATTTAACAAAGATGGCGGCTATGACGTCATAAGCAAACGAAGAATCGCTACTAATGTACTATCTATTTTACCAACAGGAATTTTATGTAAATTTTCTTGTAAAATGTGGCTTGATAATGGATACTGTGATAAGTGGAAAGATCGTTGTAGAAGAGCTTGTCTGGCAAAGGGATGTGACGTCGAAGGCGTCAAACCCGTGGGTAAGAAGGAAGATTTTATCAGCCATTCCGAGTTAAGAAAAAGACTGGGTCGAGTTGGCTTTGCAGTGCATTGTGGGGCTGTTTGAGGGACATATTTCCAAGATGGCGTCCATTTTGACCCCTAAAACCGTCCCWAAATGCACTGCAATGCCAACTCGACCCAGATGTTTCTTCGACCTCGAAATGGCTGATACACTTTGAGTTATTATCAATTTAATTCGGGTTGTTTGTAGGATAGGGTGAGATAGAGGACATAACAGTTTAACTTTGACCCCTATCCCGTTGAACTTGGCCCAAATATCCCGTATCAATGCGTTTTTGATCGAATATCCCCATAGGTTGCTATCAATAGACGTCACTTCCGGTAATAGCTCTTTTTTGATGGCTTGTAGAATCCTGGAGGTTGTTTTGATCTCTTATTTTCTGGTTTGATGTCGTGAAAATAGTCAAATACAATAGTTTGAGGACTTATTTTGATATGTTTTGACTTACAATCCGCTAGTTGCCCCCCAGGCAACCGCTTGTTTGCCCCCCAGTCAACTCCAAAAAGTCACGTGATTGATAGTAAGCAATACGTATCATTGGTTTTTGAAAGGACTGGACGATATCATGTGGCATCATTGACCTCCACTCTCAGACTCCCTTGAAATCTTTCTTTTGCTCAGTTAATTATTACCAGTTGTCTTAATATTCTCATGAGGGAACACAAATTTAAATRTGAAAGAAAATTCACGACGCATTATGGTAGTGGGAGTCAAATGACGTCGCCATTGATCAGAGGAAAAGGATTGCATGCGTTTGTAATACTTAGAATTAAATTAAAATTGCTTGCTTGACAAGTGCGAGAATAAGACCATTCAATAAACCATAAGTAAATAATTATTACATAATTATTAAATAGATAAATAATTATTAATTAATTAATTCATTTAAAAAATATGTCTACCTTTGTGCTTGTCTTAGRAACGTGTGCTGAACCAATGGGTGCTGGATGGGATTATAAACTACCAGATACTGCCTTCACTGCTTCGTCAACCTTAATTAACGGTAACAATATATACGCTCAATATWTACTCTAAATTTTTCCTTTAAATGACGATTACACTTCTCACGCCCTCATTAAAGGATCGATGATGGGGTCGTGGATGAGCGTTGATGACCGAAAGGTCGGYTTGCAATTAAAAAATTATGATAAGGAACTGACAGTAATTAAATGAAAAACAAGGAAATTAACATACAGACAAACACTTAATTTAGTCAAAGGCCTTATCAGTCACTCCTATATTTACAGATTATCATATATTATTATTTAACGATTATCCTTTAATGAAATGATTATCATGAATATTCACCATAATGACTGTGCCTGCAATGAATAATTGTTCTGAATTGAATAATTCAGTCAAAAG